GTCAACTGACGTTTCACGTTTGCCGTGAACGTAAATCTAAAACTCTCTGTTGGCGACATTAGCGCACGATTGTTGAAACATGTCTTGACTATCGTCCGCCATTTTGGATTATGAACTTTATGCATATATAATTAGATCCGGGAATTTCAGAGCTGATTTTTGATTGACGGAACACAAAACCTCGCTCGAGTGCGCAGACGTTTGTGGGGGAGGGATCCGAACCTAACCCCGCAGGACGTCTGCAACGAAAGCTACTAAAAATCTAGGTTATATCAACATTTTAGAAAAAGTTAAACATTCTAACACATGAAAAAATAGATTTTTGTAGGGAATTTTGTTCGACTTTATGAGATTTTTTAAGAGCACCGAAACTACAAAATATGACAAATCAATGTATCTCTTTGTCTTTTTGTCGAAAATATCCGTGTATTATTGTAGAATGATTGACTAGCCTTCATTCGTGCAATCATAGAGGTTGCAAATAACTATTATCTTATGAATCTTAATTTTTTCTAATCACTTCCGGTGGCGCAATTTTTGCTCCAAAAGCACGAGCGTAGGCTTCCATTAAATGCTCACTATCTGGAAAACAAGCTCGGGACACCCAAGTTTTCTTTCCAGATTTGGAATCACCAATAAATTTCAATTCGGGAAATCGAAGTTTTTAAAAGAAAGTGTCATCTTTTTTCCAAAAGTAGGCAGTCACCTTAAATAACAATTAAGCACCTAAAACGAATTTCGTTATCTTTCGCCCACCTATGTCATAACATGCATGCAAGAGACTTCTCTATGTGAAAGGTTGCCAAGTAACAATAATAATAATAATAATAATAATGATAATAACAAGATTTATATAACGCCTTAATCCTTTTAGTCCAAAGGCACTGTTTACGATCTAATAAAATAAAATATAATAAAAGGAAATGAGAAATATATATGTACATATATAAAAAAATATTAATAATAAAGTATTGTCCCACAATGGAGTGCACGGCACGGCACAATAAGAAACGAAGTTAAATAGTGTAATTATAATTGTTTAATCGAAGTAATCACAATATGGCAAATATCTTTTGTTCTATTACAGCTACAGAACAAGAATCAACCCTTGGACGATACAGAAAGGATTACGTTAGAGTTCAGATCAGTAAACTGACTATCTTAGCGGTTGTAACCAGACTCATCACAGATCGATTCCAAGTCACACCCAAAGGATGTGTTGTCAGGTCTTCAGTATGGGATGATGTCGCGATTGAGTTCCCTCAAGGAGCTGTAGACAAGACCGTAGAAGGGACATTGAAAGTAAGTAAAATTTGCAAGAGGTTTGAAGTAAAAATACCTCGTAAACGTTGTACTTATGTTCAGAATTGATGCAAAGCTATGTCTAAAAATCTGGTTGTAAATTGTGTCAAATTTAGTGATAATGGCATGCAAAGTATTTATCAATCAATAATTCTGTTGCATCGCTTTTCTGTAGTCTGTCAGTCGAAGTATTATTAAACACATGCAAATGACTCTTAATGCTTTACTTTTATATCCTAGTTGTTACTAATGACACAGAGGAAGTACCTTGAAAACGATGAGTATGGATATCCGTGCCCAATATTATTGGTGGATGGTTTTGAAGGTGTTGGTCTCCAAAAAACCGTCACCATAAGGATGCCACACCCTTGTCCCGTGAAATGTCCTGTGGA